TCATTATAATTTTTAAAATATCTTTATTTTTATTGTCTTTTAGTTTTAACCCTTGATTTTATTTTCCCTCTCTATCTATTTTGTCAATTAGTAAAATATTCCGGGTATGGTTCTCAATAAACTTTTCTCCTAGACAAAAATCCTAGCTTTGATTTGAAATACGATACATGATATCCGAATCACAATTTTTTTTTTTTTATAGAACCATAATCAAATATAACTATTATATAATAAACCCATACCCATTAACATGTCTGGCCAGATCATGAGCTAGCTTAATTACAGCATGATTAACCTTAGAAATAGCTAAAAATTGAAAAGATCTATTACAAGACATAATATCTGAATCACATTAATGATATTAACGTTGTGATTATTTCATCTCGAGATATATATGGAGGGATGAAATCAGCACGAAATGAATCAGAGCTTTGATACTCGTTAGAGCCTTCAAGAAACCCTGCTTGGCTACACTTGTCGATACTAATCTCCAATTAATGCTTAACTAAGTGATTAGAGCAGAGAAAGAGAGGAAGAGCAAGAAGATAAGAGTAATGTCAGTAAAGTTCGTGACCATTGCTGACCATTCAACTCGGTTAAGTGGTCTCCACAAGCTCGAACAACTTGGTCTCACGGGCTCAATAGCCTATAGTTTGGTCCAATACACATCAATATATTATTTCCCTACTTTTTACAAAATAAATAAATGAAAGTGCAAAATCAACATCACCATTATATTATCTCATTCTTTATGATGCTCACTCACAAGAGAGTCATCATTGAAGTATATAATCCAGAAAGCTAAATTCAATTTCTAATTCAAAGATTCGATACATTATTATTACTTCTTCTTCTTTTTATTTATTTATTTATTTATTTTGTTTATTATTATTATTTTTTAAATGTTCCCACATTCCACATAGTATAAACCTTGCTTGAGAAACTTTTTATATTAATATTTGTAATACATATCATACAAGACACAACTCTTAGACTTCATTCATAGTACCAGGAAAACAAACCACAAAAACAACTACTAATACAAAGAGGATAATATTACACATAAATACTTAGCCAATGTTTGAAACTAAGCATCGGATCAAGTTATATCTAAGCCACCCCAATTATCTTGAGGGATACCCAAGGCTTTTAAAACATCAACGATGTTGTTAGGACATGGAGGCTGATAATCATGGACTTTGTCGCATCTCATAGTTGAGTCACACTCATCAACCACCATGGCCACCACACTTCGCACCATTAGCACTAATGGTGATGTTGTTGTGACACCAACTGCCTCCTTTGTGCCATCCAGTCGATAATGCCATGACTAGCAAGTCATCAGAGTGATATTTACCGTGACATTCACTTGGACCACCACCATCTCCACCTTTCTGAAAACTGTTAATAGTAAGTGTTGCCTTGGTTTGGCCAGAAACTGCTGGAGAACACTTGTACGTTGTGTACATTTTGCCTTGGATACAACAATCTGAGTGATTCTCCTAATTGCATTGGCCTGGAGATGGTTTCTTTCCCATTATTTTACCACTTGGGCTGCAACCTTGACCCCCAACATCCAAACAAGTAGTAAATAAGAGACATACTAGTAGGATAGTAGATGTTTTTGAGAAAAAACTGATAAGGAGCTCAGCCAAAGCAACCAAAGCAGAGGAAAGCTGAGCCATGACAGTCACACATATTCAGCTCAGCTACAGCTCAAGAATTCAACACAAGCACCAGCTCTCCTTAATTGAATTAGTTAGGCAGTTATGGATTAATCAGAGTTAGATGGATTGGTTATGTTTTAGTTAAATACAACTATAGTTAAATAGGAGTCATATTCATTTTGTATAAAAATGGATATACACTGTAATCAATGAATTCAAGAAATAAGAGATTCAGTTTTTCTTTTATGGTATCAAAGCCACATTCAAGCTCTTATGAGCACTGTTCTTGAAAGATCCATCGATGGCGTCTTCAATGCCATTCATGAATCAATCTTCTTCTGCAATCACATCAACTCAAACTTCAACATCATTTTCCATTCCTCCAAACCTTGCTCTCCTCATCCCAAATCTGAATTCATTCGTGACCATCAAACTTGACTAAACTAATTTCATTATCTGGAAAATCAAGTTCAGAATATTCTGAAAGCTAAACAGCTTTTCTGGTTTGTTGATGGCACAAAGGTATGTCCATCATCTATTATCACTGATGAACACAACACTGTGATTATGAATCCAGAGTATACACAATGGATGATTATTGACTTTCATCTTCTTAGTTGTTTGACTGCAACTCTCTCTCCATCTATATTCATTTTTGTGCTTCATTGTTCTACAAGTCATGAGGTGTGGAATGCTCTTATCAAACGTTTTACGTCATTATCAAGATCACATATTCACCAGTTGAAGAACAAACTCAATCACATTGTTAAAAAAGAAAATACAATGGATGAGTACTTGACTCAGATCAAATCAATTGGTGATCAGTTAGCTTTAGCTGCCTCACCTATAGATGATGAGGATCTGGTTTTACTGATTCTTAATGGATTGCCTGATGAGTACAATGCATTTAAAACTTCCATCAGAACTCGATCTGAATTCATTTCTATTGGAGAGTTATGCTCTTTATTAAACTCTGAGTATATTCATGTTGAATCCTCGTCCAAGCAAGTTCATACTGCAGAGATTCCATTTGCTTACCATGCTTCAAGAACTTCTTCTCGAGGTGGCTATAAATGAGGTTCTTACAGATGTCGAGGAAGAGATTTTAGAGGCAATTCTTCTGCTCCTAGAGGCAGCAGAGGCAGAGGAGGTAGATCTTATGGCCAAGGTTCTCATCAAGGATATCCATCAACTCATTCTTTTGCTGCTGTTACTTCCTCAAAGTAATCTGTTAGATTTGTGGAAAAACAAATCACTCAACATTAGAGTGTTGGTACAGATTGGATACTTCTTTTCAACCTACCAGATCTTCCACTTCTCAAACCTATGTTGCCTTCACATCCTCTTAGCAGAGTACTGTTTCCACTGGTGACAGTTCTCATATCAATACCAACATCAACTGGTTTTTGAATTCTGCTGCTACCAGCCATATTACCAATGATTTGAACAATCTGGCTTCATATTAACCATATCAGGGTCTTGATCAAGTCACTGTTGGTAATGGTAATACTTTGCCTATTCATCACACTAGTTAAGGTCTCCTTCCTATACCCTCATTTCCTTTTCATCTATCCAAAATGCTTCATGTACCTTTCATATCTTCTAATTTACTTTCAGTACATCAGCTTATTTCTGATAATCATTGCACTATTACTTTTGATAAAGACGTGTTTCTCATATAGGACAAGAGTACCAAGAAGGTGCTCTATAAGGCTTTCATTCCCATGGTCTCTATCATCTTCCTAGTTGTACTATATCTGCTGTTACATCTACTGCCTCTTATTCACCAGTAACTTGTTTTCATTGTGCTGTTAATGGCTCCACTACTCTTAATTGGCATTTTAGATTAGGCCATCCTTCTTCTAGAAAATTTCAGTATCTTGTTAAACATCACTTGTTATCTTCTTCATCTGTTAATGTTAATAAACTGTGTTCACATTGTTGTGTTTCCAAAAGTCATAGACTACCATTTAGTTTGTCAAATTCTACTGTCAATAAACCTTTGGCTCTTATTCACACTGATGTATGGGGACCATTCACTTCCTCTGTTGCTTCCTACAAATATTATGTGTTGTTTATTGATGATTACAACAAATTTACATGGTTGTTTCCTCTCATTACAAAAGTGAGCTTTTCACTAAGTTTTTAGAGTTCAAGGCTTTTGTTGAAAATCAATTTTCCACTCACTTGCAAGTTTTAAGAAGTGATAATGGGGGTGAATATCTTAGCAACAAATTTCATGATTTTCTAAAGAGTAAAGGTATTCAGTATCAATTGAGTTGTCCTCATACCCCTGCTCAAAATGGTGTAGCTGAAAGGAAGCACAGACATCTCGTAGAGGCTACCATTGCTCTTATGCACCACTCTTCTTTGCCTCTTGCTTATTGGTTTGATGCCTTAGCTACATCTGTTTTTCTTATTAATAGACTTCCTACTGCTAAGATTGATTTTCTCACTCCTTTTGAAGTTTTGTTCCAGTAGCCTCTTGATTATACATTTCTTAAGACCTTTGGTTGCAAATGTTATCCTTGGCTCAGGCCTTATGCCACTCATAAACTTCAGCCTAGATCTGTGCCTTGTGTGTTTCTTGGATATGTTCCATCTACTAAGGGCTATAGGTGTCCTGATCCTTCTACTGGCAAGATTTATGTCTCTAGACATGTTGTTTTTGATGAACATACTTTTCCCTTTGCTTTTTCTCCTGCAGTCTCATTTGTTTCCTCTTCTTTGTCCCAGCTAAACTCCCTTTTCTGGTCTTCACAATCTTCTTCTCCTGTCACTAATTCAGCTTTTGCTGTTACTTCCTTCACAGCTGTGCCTACACCTGCAGCTATGACTTCTACAGGTCTTACACTTGCAACTATACCTTCTATAGGTCCTACATCTACAGTTATGCCTTCTATAGGTCCTACATATGCAACTATACCTTCTACAGGTCTTACACCTGCAACTATGCCTTCTACAGGTCCTTTTTCATCTGTTCCTATTATGTTTGGTCGATTTGATCCAGTTCAGCCTCAGTCTGTCCAGCAACTTGCATTCCAGTCTGTCCAGCAGCCTGCCTCCCAGTCTGTTTCTCCATCTACTCCTCTCTTTAGCAGTCTATCTTCAGCACTAGTTCAGTCTCCTAGTCTACCTTATCTCTCTCAGGCTCTTTCTTTTTCCATTCCCATTTCTTCTTTATCTGTTCTCCTTTCTTCTCTTCCTCCCACCAATACTCACTCTATGATCACTCGATCCAAATCTCAGCCCCATTGTTTTCTTGCCACCTCTGATCTTACTAAACCACAATTCTACCAAGACGCTTCTTAATCCAGTGCTTGGACTGCTGCTATGCATGATGAATATAATGCTTTAATCCAGCAAGGCACTTGGACTTTAGTCTTTCTTCCACCCACCAAAAAGCTGTTGGTTGCAAATGGGTGTTTCGTCTCAAGAAAAATTCTAATGGTTCCATTGCTAGGCATAAAGCCAGGTTAGTTGCCAAAGGTTTTCTCCAAACGGAAGGCATTGATTATTTTGAGACCTTTAGTCCAGTAGCAAAGCAGCCCACTATCCGCATTCTTCTCTATTTGGCTCTCCATTTCAATGGACTATCAAACAACTTGACATTTCCAATGCTCTCCTTCATGGTCTCTTAGAGAAGGAGGTCTACATGCATCAGCCAATTGGATTTGTTGATAACACACATCCTTCCATGGTTTGCAAGATCAATAAAGCTTTGTATGGACTCAAACAAGCTCCTAGAGCCTGGTTTTCCACCTTTTCTTCCTTTCTTCTTATTCAAGGTTTTAAAGCCAATCATTGTGATTCTTCCTTATTTGTTAAGAAGACTTGTCACTTCATCACCATTCTTTTGATGTATGTTGATGATATTCTAGTTACAGGGAATGACTCTTATTATATTTTTACTCTCATTACTCAAATGCACTCTACTTTTTTCATGAAAGAATTGGGGCTTCTTAAATATTTTTTGGGCATTTCTGTTACCTCTTCCTTCTCAAGTTACTTCTTATCTCAAAAGAAATATGCTACTGAAATGTTAGTAAAGGCTAGTATGACAAACTGCAAGTCTTCTCCGTCACCTATGACTTTTAAATCCTCTATTGATCAGGAAGATTTTCCTTTCTCTCATCCTTCTCTCTATAGGAGTCTTATTGGTGCTTTGCAATATCTTACTATCACTCGTCCTGACTTGGCTTTTGTTGTCAACCATGCTTGTCAGTTTCTTCAGACACCTTTCACTAGTCATTTTGCCTTGGTAAAGAGACTTCTAAGGTACCTTAAGGGCACTCTTCATCTTGGTCTTCAGTTCAGTCCTGACCTTCTCACCTTACATGCCTTCTCTGACTCAGATTGGGCTGGCTGTTCTCTTGATCGAAGATCCACCACTGGTTATTGTGTCTTTCTAGGTCCCAATTTAATTTCTTGGTCAGCAAAGAAACAGCCCACTGTCTCCAGGTCCTTTATTGAAGCTGGATACAGAGCCCTTGCTCAAACAGCTACTGAACTTAGCTGGATTGGCATGCTGCTCTCTGATCTGTCCATCTCTGTGTCAGCCCCCACACTCTGGTGTGACAACATGTCTGCCATCTCCTTGTCCAACAATCCTATGTTTCACGCCAGATCCAAGCACATTGAAGTGGATTATCATATGTTCAGGAAGGGTTGCAGCCAAGAAGTTGAATATTCATCACATCTCATTTGTGGATCAGCTGGCTGATTTATTCACCAAACCTTTTTCCTCTCCTCGCTTTCTTTATCTTCAAACCAAGCTTTCTGGGCCAGCACTCTCCCATCAGCTTGCGGGGGCATGATAAGGAGCTCAGCCAAAGCAAACAAAGTAGAGGAAAGCTGAGCTACAATTGCAGAGCTGAGCCACAGTAGTCACACGTATTCAGCTCAGCTACAGCCCAAGAATTCAGCACAAGCACTAGCTCAACTTAACTGAATTAGTTAGGTAGTTACGGATTAATTAGAGTTAGATAGATTGGTTATGTTTTAGTTAAATACAACTATAGTTAAATAGCAATTACATTAATTTTGTATAAATATGGATATGCACTGTAATCAATGAATTCAAGAAATAAGAGATTCAAGTTTTCTTTTAAAAACTCTCAATTTTTCTCTATTCTTGTTCTTCTCTCTCTTCCTACTTGTTTTGAATTGAAGGGTTGATGCAAATCAAGTGTTTCAATAGGGTATAAATATCAATTTTCTTAAAAATTTACCTACATTCTAATCTATATTTACAATAATACTAGCCATCTTTGCTGATGTAATTATATGGTTCCAAGAGGGGCATTCCATTAATTTAGGAAAAACTTTAGGGTTGAATTGCTTGTTGGATTTACTAAGAAAGAACAAGCCAAGGCATGTGAATGTGAATGATGGATGTTGAACGGCTGTGATCAACTTAAAATATCTATCAACGTAGCTGACACGGTCTGATGAATATTGGGCGCTATTTTGAACTATTTTGCTTAATGTGTGCGTTGTGACCATTTGAAGGCTCATAATTCATCATTTATGTAACAACAAAAAAAGGGTCATAATAAACTCAGTCTCAGTTTCTCGTATTCAAGAATGTATAAAATATTGGAAGAGGACTCATTACAACAAATTAAGATTTAGGTAAATTATATTGATATTTTGTGAAATTTGAATAAAATATAGTCATACAATTTTAACATAATTATATTGATTTCCCTATTAGTAAGGCAAATTGAAATTAATGCCAATAGTATGAAAACATAAGGGGAAAAAAAAATTTAGTGTAAAAAAGATGATAACGTCATTTTTTCATCATATGACTATAACGAATTAGTGATGAAAATGAGATCAAGTGTTATGTGAATTACAATCTTAAGGAAACTATTAGCAAAAATTTGGTTTGGGTGTGATATTGACAAACAACAAACAAATCAATTTTCACAAACAATAGGATCAAGCAATGTGGTTAAGTGTCTTAATGCCTTGACAGGGTCAAGGACTTCTGTAGAGGTTTACTTCTTGAAAAAACAAAGTAAATATAACTGGAAAATCACTTTAACCACAATGATCAAATTCCAAGTCTTTTAGTAATATAATCGACAGAACTTTGAACAAATACTAACTGCTACTACTACTACTACTACTACTACTACTACTGCTACTCCTCATAGTTATAGGTACTGCTACTCCTAAACAGACTAGATCACTCCTAGACTTCTCCAGGTGTGAATTAATTCCTTTCATCCACTAAATTTCTAGCTTTTATGCCACTGGTCATGCTGTCCATATACTGCCACATGTTCCGCCATGAAGCAGGTTACTTCCACTTCCTGAATAACTGCTCATGATCTTTACAATTGCCTGTAACTGCCTTTATTCTTTGTAGTTTTCTTTTCTCTTCAGTCCGTGTGAATACACCACTTGTCCTTCATCAACATTTCTTAAAAGTCATGTCTCCACTCCTGGGCCACATTTGGCCATGTTTCATCACGTTTTCAGGCATATCGACAAAAGAAACTACCTCTGCCATCATTGCATATGAAATTGCTCCTTTAACTACTTCAACCCTGTCACTTGTTCTGCATATTGGAACCCACAATGTATCACCAATCTTGTGGCCCTTGCTTCTACCACATACTGGATCATCCTTCCATGCTTGGACATGCTTGTCGATAGATGTAACATATCCGGGGAGTACCCATGGGCATTAAATAGTTTGGACCCTCAGTCTCTTTGATCTAGTTTCACTAGTGCAATGTGAAATATAGATGAGAGTCCAGGTTTGACAACTTTTAGAAAATTCGTTTTATTGCAAAAAAACCATTTTGTCAGAAATAGACTGCGTCATTAGATCTCAAAGACGCCACCTAATATTTTGGAAAATTAGGAAACCCATGACTCGTGCCAAGGTCACTGTTCGTTATAACCAAAGCTGTCTCGGTTCGGAACCTTAAGTATGAGAGGGGAAGATCATTAATTGAGCACCCCCACTCACCCGATCAAAAGATCGGCCTTTACTAAACCATGATATGAATTTTATTTACTTTATATGTTCATATTTCGATTATTTAATAAATCCTAAAAATTACTATGTGAAGCATACAAGTATAGACTACGTTATTTATTTTGGAATAATTTGATTTCATGTATTTTGAAAGAGTTTTGAAGATGTACAACTCAAAGAAATTGAGTCTACAGTCATGAAAACCAGCATCATTTCAAATTAAGTGACACAACCTCCATCCACTGTCATTCATAGAGTAATATCACATAAGCAAATAGCCTCATGGTAGAATGCTAAACATAGTAAGAAAAACACACACAAATGGGATGCTAAAGCATAAAAACTTACATGTTTGACGTCCCGCGAACAAGCTACAAAACAAAGTTAGTAAAACATGGATGATCTTATATACAAAATCCTAATGCAATTCATTTATGAGCCACAACTAAAGATTCGGCTTCTAAGATATGACATGTGAATTATCTCAAGAACACAAGGTAGCGCACATAATCACATAGAAATTGATTAAATCCATAAATACAAAATTATCTGAATCAAGATGCATGAAACATGGATGCAAAACGAGGATATACTAAAAAAATAAAATAAAAAAAATAAAATAAACATGATGCATATCCACAAATAAGGAAAGCAAGTAAAAGAATGGGATAGAAAGAAATAGGGCAGGAAATTATTACAACACTTTGAATAAATTATTACAAACCAAATAAGAGAGAGAGGATAGAATATTGCAATAAAATAAAATAAAACCTCACAAAACACTTAAAATAAAAATAAACAAAATAAAAGCTTCATGTTCCTTGCAATCGTCGGCGAAAATTGGTCAACATTGGGAGATCACGCTATCTTGTCTGAAAAAGCTAACCGGCCGAGCAAAACCTGTCTTGTTGTGAAACCAAAAAAAGGAACAAACAAGAAATATGTAGGTGGCTCAACTAACCACTACCGGTTAGCTTACAACACAATTAATATGAAACAAGAGCAAGCAAATAAGCAAAATAATAATAATTATGAGCTAAACAAACCACTTAGATTACAACAACACACTATAAAATATAAAGTATAAATATGAGATAAACAAACCACTTGGATTATAACAAAACACTATGAAATAAGAAGCAAGAAAATAAATATGAGATAAACAAAGCACTTGGATTATAACAAAACACTATGACATATAAAGTAAGAAAATAAATATGAGATAAACAAAGCACTTGGATTATAACAAAACACTATGAAATATGAAGTAAGAAAATAAATATGAGATAAACAAACCACTTAGATTATAATAAAACACTATAAAATATAAAGTAAGAAAATAATATGAGATAAACAAACCACTTGGATTATAACAAAACACTATGAAATAAGAAGTAAGAAAATAAATATGAGATAAACAAATCTCTTGGATTATAACAAAACACTATGAAATAAGAAGCAAGAAAATAAATATGAGATAGAAAATAAAAGAAAATGAAAGACTAGAAATTCACCTTCCAAAGAAAGATTGAACTTCTTGATTTCCAAACTTCCTCTTGATCACCCTCAAGTTTAGGAAGTGTATTCTCAATCCGCAATTCGAAACTAGAATGGAACTCTGGGTATGTATAGTGGAAAAGTGGCTAACTCTCTTATTTTTTTTCTTACTTTCAACAACACTCACTCTTTCCTTTGATCAATCACTATTGAAATTTAGTTATTTTATAATTTTTGGAGGATTTTTGGGTGTAGGAAAGATGAAATTTTAGTTTGTATGGAAGGTATGGGGTGTATATAGAAGATATGAGTGTTTTTGGCTCAATTACTCAATTTCTGTCTCTTTTTTCACCATTTTCTCACTCTTTTCTCTTCAATTTCGTGGTTCTCCCTCTCTCTTACAATCTGATCATTCTATATAGGCAATGAGGGAGAGTGAAGATCAAAAAGAAGGTGGCAGACAAGAATGTGATAGGAGGGCAAATTTTCAAGGCGGTTGCCTGGGATACTCATTTATGGATGCAAACAAAACCTCTTTTTGACAATGGGGGATGATTAGCTATGTATTTGGTGATATATGGGTCGGCCAATGGGGTAAAGGAGTGTCTCACACACAAGAAAAAAATACAAAAAATACACTTTCTCTGCCTGCTGGTTTGAAATGGTCAAATATTATTTTAGGGGAAATATAACACAAGGCAAAGTTTTGGCAGAGTGGTTAAGGTGTTGGGTGTGGACTTTAGATTGGGGGTTCAAACCCCTTCACCAGCCTTGTTAAAAAAAAAAAAACTCTTCACCAGTATTTCTTAAATTCATTTTTTTTTTTGTGTAAAGACAAGTCAGCGCAACGTCATCAGCAAGGACCAATCCAGTCATGCCACGTTAGTAAGACCGCCACGTCAGTGTCACAGTCAGCATTGATGGAATATTCTGCATATGGACAGAATATTCCCTGACTTAACAAAATATTCCCTCACATAATAGAATATTCCCTAAGTTTTAAAAATTACAATTTGGCCCAAAAGTTTCAAATAATTGTGCTATAACTCAGATTTCGGGAGAATTTTTCAGTAAGGCCCCTGGAAGTGCAGCGAAGGTTGATTCTAGTTAAACGAACCATTCTGGACGCAACCGTGAGGTTAAAATATTCCGTTGGAAAGGTAATTTGTGGCTGTTTAGGGTTGAAACCAGGGCTCAAATTCTAAGTTTTCTTATTGAGGATCCTGTGA